TCTTTTTGGTCTCAACGGAAGGGGTCCTGGAGTCCTTGGGAGCATCGGTTTCCATTGCCGAGTCCATTGCGGCCGGCGTGGCAGCCGGAGCGGGAGCAACGCTCCTCGGCCGGCGTTAGGCCTATGCGTGGTCGGGTCAAAATACGGTCGTAACTTGCACAGTTCCAGACGGATTGGGTCTAAAATTACTCGATGCGTGCTGTAGTACGTTGGAAAACTCCACGTCAACAAAACTGGGCCTACCTTGGTGGTTTCCGTCAAAAAGATCGTTCGACAAACGGAGCTCGTGCTCAGCGCGTCCGATCGCTGCGCTTCTCGAAGCGCCGTCATCATCCACCGAAGAATTTGGTCGTTTTTAAGTAAATGTCGAAGTTTTAACATTAAGTTATGGTGAGGCACCCGGTCAAAAGCTTTTTTCCATATCCAAAGAAACAGCATCGATTTGTCCGCCCTTGTCCAGAATTGACAAAATTTCGTTGCTCATGTGGAGTAGCGAGACTGTTGAAAAGCCACGTGGAAAATTGTGCTGGCTAACCAAGAAAAAGTGGTCCTCAAAAAGGGTGCTCAGGCGTTTCAAAACAAATGTTCCACTACTTTACTTGCAGTACACAACAAGAATATTGGCCGATAGTTAGAAACGAGGAACTTATCACCTGATTTAAGGACATGGGTTACTCCAGTGTTGTACACGTTCTTCAAGAAGAAGAACGGAAGCTCGTTCCTTGTTCCTCTTGATTTCTGGAACGCGTTCCCGTTACAAGTTCCGTCTGCGAAAAAGGAACTTGTTCCCATTACAGCTTAAAAATGAAACGTATCGTTACATATACGTTACATACTCAAATTAAATTTGTATTTTGCAAATTAACACGTTTACTTAGATCAAAACAAGTTATATATATATATATATATATCTTATCACATAGCAACATACGAATTTGAATGCCGCGATGAAAGGACACCAGGAGAAGAAAACACGCGAAAGCAAGGTTTCATTTGTTGATAAATTCACTTTTAAAAATCTCGGTGTTTTTCCGAATTCACGTTTGTGGTGGGCTATGCAGACGAGCCAAATATACTGTTGCCCCACATTGCACGAGCGTTTTACAACAACCTCCCACATTTCAATCGAACAAGCTCCCGTGTTCGAACTTAACATTTTCTTCTCGATGTTGCTGTCCGCGTGACGAGCAAATGGAAAAGAGAGTAGGGCTTTCGGAAGGTCAGTCTTGAGAACCACCAATCCCTCTTCGTGAAGGTTGAATTCGTTGTCCAGATTGAAGGTGGGAGAAGAGGAGAGGGAATTAAGGTTAATTCTTTTGCATCTGGCCAATCTTTGGCGTACAAGGGTGCGTTTAATGTCTTGTAACCTGATCTTTTGGTGTAACTGTAGGTTTCTTTGTAGAAGTTCAGTGATGACTGCAGTCGGCCTGAGATTTCTGGGTGTATGAGGATTCGTGGAAGCAAAGAAAGTAGCTGAGTTTAAGACGTCCCTTTTTCTGTCTTTTCCTTTGACTACATGTTTTGATTTCTGTACCGCAGTCGTGGGCACTGAAAAGAGAATCAATGCTCACAAGTTCTCCGGCACCCTACTGTTACCGAGCGAAGATCCCACAAAAATAAACCCTAAATAACAAAAAGAACTTAACGAGATCCTGCTCTTTGTAAAGATATTGTTTTAATACTTTTTCTATTTACCCTTTTAAAATAAAATAAAAATTATCCCACTGGACGAAAAAAACGGAACGCCATTTCTTCTTCCGTTCCCGTACAAATGTAACGAGTTCCCGTTCCAGTTTCACCGATGCAAAATGGAACGGTGGCGTTGCCTCGTTCCTCGTAAAAGGAACGCGTGCCAAGAACGCCGTTCCTTGGAGCACCGTTCCTTGGAACGCCGTTCCTTGGAACACCGCTCCGTACAACACTGGGTTACTCTAGCAATTTTCCAGTCTTCGCGAACTTCTGCATTTTGTAAGCTTTTTTGAAAAAGGATATGGAGGTATTTTGCACAGAATTCGTCATACCTGTAAAAAAATGTGTTTGGTATATCACCTTGCCCGGTCGCTTTCTTTGTGTTTAAGTGAAGCAAACCAGAGAAAATTCCCACCTCGCTCATAATCAGGTCTGGCATTTCACCACCAGCGCCTCGAAACTCGATAGCTTGGCCGTTTCTGCGAAGGAACACGGAAGCGAAGTAATCATTAATGGCTGTCGCGACGTGGTAGGGGTCTGTAATTTCTACGTTGTTCTGCGCTAGTGTTTTTTACATGGTCGTTTTTGTGTGTAAGGTGCATCCAAACTTTTCTCGCGTTGTTACAGAGAAAGTTGTGCATTTTAACATCATAGAAGGGGTATTTAGATAATTTTATTTTCGTACGTAGCTCGGTACGTATAGACGGTAATATGCTGTTTGCAGTTTGGGTACACGTGCGTGCGAGTCGTCTTGCACGATATTTTAACTGAAGTATTTCACGTGTTAACCACGGGCTCTGATTATTTAGTTTTATTTTCTGCGTTACGTACATCTGGATACATTTATGAACTGCATTTTTGTAGCGCAGCCATATCCGGGCAACAATGGTAAGATCACTGCCATATATTTTAATAAAATTGTCGTACTCTAGTTCAAGAACGTCCAGGATGCTTTCTTCTTGAGCTGCACTATTGAAATCGAGGTAAGGCTTTTTAAGTTCACACGCGGTTGCGCCAACATCTTACTTTTTAGGAGCACCAAATTGTTATCCAAGATTCCTGGTAATATGTCGACTGTTAATTGGAATTGACTAACACAATCAGAAAGAAAAACAAGATGAAAAATTGAGCTGGAGCTCGATGTAACACATATCGGTTTATTAATAACCTGGTTTAAATCGTAACCAAGGGCCGTATCTAGGCGCAAATCTGAGTACACACAGGGATATAAAACAAACAGAAAGTCCCAGTTTATCTTGGTCAGGGTAAAATCGCCACACATTATGGTGTGAGCATAGCATTTGCTGTGCTCGCACACGAAATCGTGCAATTTTTCTGAAACAGAAATACCAGAATTAGGAGGACTGTAGAATGCACAAGTAAGTACGCTAAGTTGACACAAGTGAACTATAATGCAGACCATTTCAATGCCCGTGTTGTGAGGAACCTTGATATACCCTAAACCCTTCTTTAACACTGTTGCAATGCCTGCTCCCTTTCAGTTTTGGTCTTGGCGAACTATTTCGTGCGATCTTGGTATCACTGCTGAGTCGGGAATCATTTCGTGAAGCCACGTTTCGGTGACGACTGTAACATCTGGGTTATATGTAACAAGAATACTTTTGAAATCTTCGCTTTTATTAAAGGCTTCTGGCGTTGGAATTCAACAAGAAAAACAGTTTTAGATTAAATTGCTGTGTTGGTGTTACTATATTCTTGAGATAGATGGACTGATCAGAAAAATATTTGGTTGGAAACTGGCGTCATATCGCGGACTGGTTCTCTCTCGTTCAGAGTATCGTCCCATTTAAATAGCTCTCCGTTGATTCGTATTCTATCAAATGAGGGAGAAATTTTGTACCCGTTTGTCTTGTGCGCTTTTGCACTTTCCCAGAGCTTTTTTTCGAATAGCCTGTGCACGAGGCGAAACGTCTTCCGAGATTCTGTACACTATGCTCTTCAATATTTCGCAGTTCTTGAGTATCCTAGTTTTGTCCCTTCCGCCAACCAGTTTAAAAATGACTGGCAGGCATTTACCAGTGACCGGTCTTCCTATTTTATGTATACGTTCAATGGCAACGTCACGTACTTCTAGTAAGTCTGCAAGTATATCATAAACGATAATTTTATTGCTCCTAGTTCGGTTTTACAAGTCAACTACTCTTATGTGAAGACTGTCTACTGTTCTTTGAAGCTCGTCGACTTTACGCGTGTACAAAGAGATGGTTGACGAAAGACCGTCTAACTTATTATCAATGGAGGTCAGCTTATTAGATGTTTCCTTTAGTCGTTGTGTTACGGTGTCAGATTTACTCTTTAGTTCACGAACGTTCTCAACTATGATCTTAAGCATCTCTTCAGTGGTTGGCCCAGGCTTTGGCTCAATTTCGCCACATAAGGGGAACGAGTCAACAAGGCAATCGTACGCTGACCCAAACATAAAAAGCAGTGATCGTGGGCATGGCAAAAGAAGACATACGCTGTTGCTACGATAAGTGAGAACCGGACGGTTGTCTCTCACCTGAACGAAAAAGAGGAGGGGATTTGTGAGACGCATTGTGTCCCAGCTTTTGCCCCGCCCACTGATTGGGAGCCGTCGTGCGGCAAAATTTCTAATCTCGTAAAAAATGACGTAGAAAAACGTGATGCACGCTGCGCCGTAAGCGTTGGAATCCAGCCAAGACTCACGTGGTTGCTGCCAGTAACGTAGCTTGTAGCGTATTCTTGAGAAGAAACATGATGTTTTTGCTGTGTCTGTCTTTTTGGACCCATGGGACGCCTCGCTTGAAGAGTGCTCGCGACTGACAAAAAGCAAGGCCTGAACAAAAAACAAGAAGGATTTGTGAGACGCATTGTCGCACAGCTTTCGTCGCGCCCACTATTACAAAGTCAAACACTACTTTATGTATACGCCGTAGACTTTACGGTTTTAATCGAAAAACACCGATAAAACATCCGTCGTTGTCAAAAACACAAAACCAGTTAAAACCGAATAACACCGATCAGCATCCTATGTTCTAAATAATACAAGATCACTTCAAACAGGAAAACACCGATTTCTTGACATCCTTGTTCCAAATAAGATTTTTTTTTTTTTTTTTTTGCGAAGTCTTTGTTAGATCAGAAATCTTAGTTTTTCGTGATCTTTATATTTTTTTCCCGGATAATTACTGTTATTGGCCTCTGTCCGAAGCAGAATGCCGAAATACACCGATATCTTAAAACTAAATAAGTACCGAACAACTTCCGCAGATTACATACACACCGGAGAGGCTACGGTAAACTTAGGTGTATAATGGCGTTGACCGCAGGACGGTCAGCCGACTGGTGGTCCGCCGGCATCGTGATGTACAAGCTGCTGACCGGCCGGGTCCCGTTCCGCGGCAAGAACCGGGAGATGATTCGGGAGCGCATCATCACGGCGCCGCTCAAGTGGCCCCGGGCCGAGGAACACCCGCACTCGGCCACTGTTCCGGCCAAGGACATGACATACCGTATGCTCAGGAAGAACCCCGTCGAGCGCCTAGGCTCCAGCAGCTATAACGACCTCAAGGCGCACCCCTTCTTCGACCGCTTCAACTGGAAGCTGCTGTACACCCAGACTCAGCTCTGCGACATCCCCAGCATCGCGAAGATCCTCAAGAGCAAGCAGAACGAGAAGGAAGACGACGGCGAAAAAAAGCGCAGCCACCACCAGCAGATCGACGACATGACTGACATAGAGGCCGAAGCCCAGAAGCCCCTTCTCTGCTACGCCTCTGCCAGCTTCAGAAAACTCATGAGTTCGGTACGCTTTGATTCGTCCTATACGCCTGTCAGAGGGGCACGTTAAAAATGCCTTCGAAACGAAATCGTGACACGCCGAGAGACGCGGGATCGCCAAGTGATTTGGCAATTCTTAAAATAAGATCTTTCTGAAAGAATTTAACGTGGCCGCCTGACAGAGTATTAAGGCCTTCTTGCGTGGCGCGACGGGCGTTCGTACATTAACAGAAATCATCGGCTCAAGGCTCGTCCAACACAAAGTTGAAACCGAAAGTTTACGGAGCTCGTCGCGGCCTCGAAAAAGGTACGCGAAGGCGAACACTCTTTAAAACGGTCTTCAATGTCCCTCTTTCCTTATCGTAAAATAGAAACCAACACGCTCAACCATCTACATTGTTGTTCTTGTTGTTGTTTTTATTTAGTCAATACTGCCACTTGCCTTTTGGCAGCCAGGGCAGGAATGTTTACATGCAGTTTTTTTTTATATATACATGTGATATCTTTTGACATGAACAAAATCGTCGGAAAGACATACTAATAAGACATATCGTACATACAGTTGGCAGAATAGGTAAAAAAGAAGACTGCTACACTCAGGAGTGAAAATAACAACTATAAGACCAAACAAAGTTGTTAGCAGGGAACGTAAACATAAACATAAGGCGCCACAATCGCCGGTAAGATATGACAAAAATAGCGGGGTGTTGCTGTGAACTTCCTTCTAGAAGAGATAATGAAAAATACAAGTTAAAAAAAAACACTTCACTCACAAGTGAAGTGTTTTAGATAGATAGAAGATACCAAGACATCCTGGGATGTTGTACCGACCACCTCAAGCGGAAGATCATTCCATTCAGTTATCGTTTTCGGGAAAAAAGAAAGCGATATGCGTTTGTCTTGCATTGGAGGCATCATTATCGTTTTATTTTCTTTATTCCGAGTCGGTCGCGCTGTGTTAAACTGCATATAGTCAGGGAAATTCAGTCCTGTCCGGTTATTGACTATGTTAAAGACGAGCTTTAGTCGATGAAGCTTGCGGTGGGATTAATGTTCAAAACGGTTCACAAGTTCCGTCACCGGGACGTTTCTATCCATGACGTGATAAATGAAACGAAGCGCCTTCCTCTGTACGCCTTCGATGCATTTGGTATCGCTTTTTTGTGTGGGGTCTCAGACAACGTCATCGTACTCTAGTAGAAATCTTACAAGAGATTCGTAGGCCACCAACTTTGTTTTGCTAGTGCCATGTTTTAGCCTGTGTCTTAACAACATTAACCTTTTTGTAGCCACAGAGACAATGCCAATAATATGGTTCTTCGAACTTAGATTAAAAGTTATAATTATTCCTAGGTACTTACTCTGCGTGACTAGGCTAATCTCAGTATCATTAATTTTATATCTGTACCTCAGCGGTTGTTCTTTGCGTTTCATAGTCATATCTGTGCACTTAGCGATATTTAAACTCATTTGCCAAGATCGACCAAATCCGGAAACGGCTACTAGGAAATCGTTTAGAGTTATCTGTTTGCCTGTTGACTGAACATATAAATGGGCGATGCAATCGTCTGCAAAAGAAAATGGCAGCGAACAGGTGAGTTGTATGCTAAATCGTTGAAATAAATTAGGAAGAGAAGTGGGCCCAATACGAAGCCTTGAGGGACTCCTGAAAGAACTGGTGCTAGAGGCGTGTTGGTCCTGTCTAGCTGAACGTACTGCTGTCGATGTGATAAGTATGAGTCAAGCCACCGAAGAATTTGGTCATTTTTTAGTAAATGTCAAAATTTTCACATTAAGTTACAGTGAGACGCCCGGTCAAAAGCTTTTTCGAAATAAAAAAAAAACGGCATCGATTTGTCCGCCCTTGTTCAAAAGTGACAAAATTTCGTTGCTCATGTTGGTTGTTATTATAGGTGAAGCAGGGCAAAACCAGAGTGAATGACGATTTCATGGAATCGAGTGAGTCCAAGTCCTCCGGAATAAACTACACCACCCCGTCGGCTGCGTCTTCAGCTAGCAAAACTGGGGTATTGAATAGTAAGCTATAATTTCTTATCAATGTCACTTAGATCTTGTGGTTGTTGTTGTGACGTTGTTGTGGTTTTTGTCCCATAATGATTGCTTCTTTTTTTCCTTCTTTCTTTTTTCTATTGGCGTCTTTAGGTTCTGAGTTTAAGGAAAGCCGAAACCTGGGAGCGGAAAAGATCGATCTGATTCTTTTTCGGAAGAAGAAATACCTCAAATTTTGGAGTTACGGATTTAATATGCGAAGAATTAAGGGGGAAGAAAATAAGCACCTCATATTTGTTGATGTGAGTGCGCCCTTTGTCACTCTTTTTTCGAGCTCCGGTACTGTCTGAGTGGCATTCCCTTTCCAAGGACTAATAGCATTCTTCTCCGACTGACAACTCAGCGTACATTTTGTCAAAAATGGGGTGATCGCTTTATAAAGCATATCCGTTCAATTTGCTCTGAAAGTTTGCGGATAGTCACGAAAAATACGAGCAAACGAAAAGGCACGAGTCACACTGAAATCAAGCTGGCGTCATTAGCCGAGTGCCTGTCTGAGTGTGACGATCACGAGCTCAAATTCCTCGCAGATGCAGAGAAAGTTTAATTTTTAGGATTTACGTGTAAAACCTGCAAAAGGAATCTGTCCAACATCTAGCATATTCCAGCAGAAGATTGATTGAGGGTGAGTCTAACACCACCAGTGAACTTACTTTATGACACGTACCGGAAATCTCAGTCACACAGCTCCTGTCACTTTGCAAGCCCCTTGGTCTGGATAAATACCAACCCAGAAGCGCTTTCAAGCTTGAACCTGACGTCTACCTCGCCATTCGCTTGTCTATATTTGCATAAAACAAAATGTTCGTCTACCCTTCTTCTCTACAAAAAATTTAGTATTTTTTTTTTACAGCGGAGTTGTTAAGGGCTATATTCCCCAGGATCGTGTCCGGTACCAAACAAATGTCGACACAACACTCTGGTTGCCGTCGTCGCTCATAGATGATGGTAGCTGTCCTAGGTGTTGTGTTTGCCGGTTGTCTACTTGCCGCCGTCGTGGCAACCTTTCCAGCCTCAGCCCCCAGACAACAGGTAGCTGCCGTCGCTCATAGATGGCGGCAACATTTCTTCGGGGGAAGAAGAACGCGAACGGAAGGATCGGCGATGTGCGCAGCAGAATGAATGGTTCCGCAACCGCCGCGAGGCCGCTATCGCCTAAAGTTCCACTGCGTCGAGCGCTTCAGATTCCCCTGCGAAAGAAGAGCAGATCACTCGCCTGGAAAGCAACCGCCGAGAACAGAATTTACAGATCCGCTGTTCTTCCTTTTTCCCCAGAGTGAAAAGGCTAAAAGTTTTTTTGTTCTTTTTTTTTTTCAAGTTTTAATTAATTTTGTACCCCCTCTTCCATCACGAGCAAACTTATTTTGTCACGATTAATAATCCATGAAGAAGTTCTCAATCGGGATCACTAAAACTGATCTTCATGCCCCAGACGCAATAAAATTTAGCGGCGCGCTGGCACTCAGTCTCCGTTCCTAAGAAACAAAGAAAGGGGGGGAGGGGGGAGGCTTTTTTCCGTTTCTTAGGAACAGAGATTGCGTGGTAGGTGGAAGGAACTGCGTTTTAGTGCTATCGCACCTTCACTATATTTGACGGAATGTCTAAGTCTGACACATGTGTGTAAGAAGCGGTACTTTCATATCTTTCATAAAGTTCCAGACTTCAAGTGGGAACAAGAAGGAACAAAAATAGACAGTCTAACTCCTTTAGACGTTAGTCTTCTAAGTCAGCAGCCTCGTACAAATGCTTTTAGCTTATACACGTTTGCAAGAAAGGCTCCTGTGCGCTGCCATTTTGAGCGATGCTGGCGCCCCGTACCGTTTCCGCCATGCTGGGGTGCGCCAGGGGCACGTCATTGGGGTGCGCGATGACAAGCTGGTGCCGTTTGCTGCATCGCCGATGGCTTACGTTAGCGGCACACTTACTGTCTCGGAACGCAGGAAGAGGTATCCACACAGAATCGTAGCGTCACATATTGTAGGACGGGGCATCTTTCAGGGTTGGAGCTGACTTTATAACGATCGCAGCCTCTGTTCGTGCATGTTTTGGAAGTCAGAGCTGCCGCGAGCGCAGCCATCATTGATGCAAAGGCCATGCGACTTTTGGCGCATTCTGAAGAGAGCGCCTTGAGACTTTAGATCTTTTTGAAAATTTTCGATTTGTTACCGCTTTAGGCATTTTATTCAATTGTCCTTGCTATTTCGCTGTCGAAGACGACACGTGTGCGTTTTATAATTATTTTTTTTTAATTTCTTTCTGCGCTCAGTGGTGTACGCTTCGGCGAGAGACGCTTGGCAACATTGTACGACAACCAGCGAACGTCCTGGCTGGAGAGTAGGTCCGCCTCACCTTGGCGCGCGGTTCGAGGTTAAGCCGGGATCCCACTTGCAAAGGTGTATACCAATAAGAAAAAAAGCTACTTATTATTTTCTATTTTTCACTTTACGATGGCCAAACCTACAGGTCGCCAGGTACCAAAATTATGGGCCAGTTGAGGACCAAGTGTTGTTCCGACGTGACTATCGGTTCTCTGGGTCTTGCTCACCGATATGCACGTCAGAGCGATATACCACCGGGTTTCTAGCTAACCGGTTTGTGATTGGATCTTACGGTCCATCGCTTTGTCAATTAGCGCTACACAAACTATAATAACCAAGGCCCGTGAACAGCCTTTTTTTCCTCCACGTGACGTCATTAGACTCGGACGGTGCCAACTAGGAAATTGGACCCGAGCGCCGACTCCCAGCGTCATTCGACGCATCGACTAAAACACGAGGCCCATCCGGACGCCGACGTAGCTGCGCTCACCAACCAAACTTTGTCAACGCTCGATTTCACTGTGATGGCCTCGAAATCCTTGTGTTCAGTATTCGATGATTCTATGCACTGGCGGCCATAGCTGTGTGCGTGAATGCTGAGCCCGTGCTAATGGCGAGCTTCCACAGTTATTTTGCAAAGCTCATTTCGCACCATCAAGAGTGCCGGTCTTAGCAGCCTATTGATTTGAGCTCGTTCTGAGCATGCGCTCTAAACAGCAACCACAAATAGGGCGTCCATTGAATACTCCCTATTAGCGGCGAGATGTTTCGGTGGCGCCCTCGTTCGGTTACCTTTCGTGACGTCATTACCTTGTGAACAACAAGTTCGATAGTGTTTGTAATGCGCATAGTGGAAGCCTGAAATCATAGCGCTCTCAAGGAAACACTGCAGACACCGTCAAAATTGAAGTTCTTACATTCCTCTTATTTCCGTCGATGAGAAATCCTTTGCTGACGTCATTGTCACCATGCGGCCAATCGTGGCAGGCCGACCATAGCGACGCTTTCGATCGCTCACGTTGCCAATAGTCGTTGACAGCCTTAAGCAACGCAAAGCGTGATTTATTATTTTCACACTTCTTGCTTCTTAATTCGTTCTTCGGCGTTTGTATCGAACAATATCAGAATTTAAATGGATGCGGGAATGCATCGGGCAAGGCAGGCCCTTCATTTCTTAGGTTCTTCGCGAGTATGGATGAATGGGACTCGCCACACCCTGCGTTTCTTAAGCTGTCAGTGACCTGCAGCGGTGGTGTAGCTTTTTGCACATTGTTGGGTGAGACAAAGTGTAGTTCGCATCGCGGCATTGACCTCCGCTCGACCTTCTTCGACCAGTCGGTGGTGGCGGGCAGCCCGGCCGACAAGTCCCAAGTCCTGCCGCTGGACGTCATCCTGGGCGTGAGCGGGGTGGCCATCAAGGACGCCAAGGTCGGGCGAGTGAAGAAGCTCATCGCCAGCACGGGCGACCAGATGGTGCTCTCAGTAATGGCTTCCAGCCCGTACCGGGCGCTCACGACCAGGAGGGATATGATGAACCTGATGCGCAGCGTCCCCAAGGAGGCCGTCGTGGTCAAGAGCGGGGCTCTGTCGTGCTCGGGCAGCAGGCCCTACGGTCTGGGGTTCCTAGAAGCCAGAGTCTGGGACGACAAGGCCAGGCAGTTTGGCAGGGCCTTCGTCCTTTCGGTATGGTCCCCCTTTATTTGCTTGGTCCTCGTGTTACTTGCACGATAGTTCAGTAGACGATTCAACGACCTGCCATAGTTAATTTGTGAAATAATTATAATTATTGTCACTAGGCGTGATGGACGTCACTGCAACTGTCGTCAATCACGTCAGCGCTTATTATTAATAAGACACTAATCGCAACAAAAAAAAATCAGGACCACCATAATTAGTCGTCCATGTTTTTTTATGTTATTTGTTAGATCATAGTGCAATAAAATATTGATTTACAAGATTTTATGAGAAGGATATTATTACCGAAAGGGCTGCCTAATAATTGATAAGGCCATGACCACGTGACGTCTCAGAAGGCTTGTTTAACTATATTGATGCCATATCTAAGAAAGATCGTTTAAGCTGAACTTTAGCTCCTGCGTCTAGTTCCTCGGGTGTAGAACTACTATAATTACTTGCTCGAAAATAGTTAAAAGTCAATCCGGAGTACAATGAACCCAATGAATCTAAACATTTAACTTCAGTGCCCGTGCTGAGAAACCATAGTGATCTTCTTGTAGAATCGTTTCAAGATACGAATTAACCAACCGTCCGATTTTTCTTTGTTATTTTTTCAGCATTCCAACATAAAAACAGTGAATAACAATCCACTCTTCCCGGGAGACGTTGTGACCCACGTAAACGGCACCGCACTGGAGTCCCTGACCAGGGAGCAAGTGATCCAGTTGCTGAGCTCGGGGAAGAACGAGGCCACCCTCTCCGTGGTACCACTGTCGCCGCTGCGTGCCAAACGCATCATGGTCAGCAAACTCCAAGAGACCACGATAAGCGACGCCAACATTCCCAGCAGATCGACGGCCGCCGAAATCGCAATCGACTGATGACATGTTCCCCGGGCACTAAGGTCTCCACACAGAAATTTCAGCGGGTTTCATAGCGATTTGCGTGCTCAGTTCAGCGATATTTCCTTTATATTTACGAAACTAGGGCCCCAAACAGACAAAGCCTTTGCACTTTTGTTTTAATTATTGCTAACCCACTGGCATTTGTTAAATATTCAAGCCAATGGCATCATTATACGCACTGCTGTAGAGCAAAAGATGCGGCGCCGATAAACACAATAGGGCTAGTTGGAATAGGGCCACAGAGGCTTAGGAAGCCAAGCGGACAATGGTGTTCGCAGAATGCGGCAGGAAATGTTCCTCGCGGCGAGAATCAATTGCACCCGGGAAGAAAACGTCACGGGTCACGTAGACGGACACGAGAGATTGGCAGGTTTTCCTCGTCCGCCTTCTGACGCCGGACAAAACAGCGATCATTCACACGGACCGCTGGCAGCAGCTTTCAAAATAAAAGCGAACGTTTGTTGATATTTAAACGTGTTTTGGTTTCTCATTTACATTTCGCATTCGCAAATATGCCACGAAAGTGCGTCGTCCGTTTGCGCACCTCGTGCGTGTGTCTACTCACCAAATGCCGCTTGCATAGTTTCGTTTTTTCCCAACCTCAACCAATGAACGCGCACATGGGCTGACTCATCATCGCGCTTTCCCTGCGTGTTCTCTATATTACACTTTGATGGACTTGCCCCTTGCCTTCCAATGCACCAAAGACGCATTATAGGACGATTCCGCGCCGTAGAGAGTTTTTGTATTTTTTTAACAATGCAGAAAGGGTTTATCTACTAACAACTGTAAGTGACGGTGATACATGCATGATGACGCAGAGTGACTTCGTACTTCTTTGGCGATCGGCTCAATATGTCCCCTCATCGATGATGGTTACTTTCCTTCAGAACTGAGTTAAGCCATGGTATCCCTTCTTCATTGACGCTATGCCTAAATCTTGCGTAATTTGGGTATTTAACAACATATATCTGTTCAATGTCAATCATCCGGGGTTTCTTTAGCTTTCACATTGTAAAGACATATTGTCAAGTCTAGTTAACATGCTGAAAAGTACTCAGAAGTTTCTAGCTCCGCTCGAATGTAGTTAAAAGTCAATACGGATTTCAACGAACCTCCTGAATAAACACATTTAACTTCGTGCCTGCGCAGAGAAGCCACGGTGATCTTTTGCGGAATCGTTTTAAGATACCAATGAACCGACCGTCCGATTTTTCTTTGTTATTTTTTTCAGCATTCCAACATAAAAACAGTGCATACCCCACCATTTTTTACAACTGTCATACCATTTGCTTAATTTCTTTTTCTTGTGAAAGCAAGTCAAGATCCAACTCACTTTAATAAAAAAAAATCCCCTTATACACTTTTTTTTTGCTTTAATTTAAAGTCAAGTACAGTAGCTAGAGATGAGTGCTAGAGTTCGCAAACGGCGCCCAGGCAGTATAATACCCTAGTTACAATAGCGCTCTTAACTGTCATTAAGCCAACGACAGTTGACTCAAACGCGATCGGCCAGAGTTACACAGCGGCGCCAACTGCAACTGAGCCGCTAACGATCATTGAGTTCAACTGAGCTGGCCTACCTCAGTGAACTGATGGGGGTTGGCTTTAATAGAGCTGAAGATGGCGGCGTCCGCCCCATCGCCGCCCATGGCCAGCTCCAGCGAAGCACTTACTATTCCGGATGATTGGGAAAGATATCTCGAAAGTATCGTAGCAGCAAATATTCTCGGAAGATGTATGATTCGGGGCCAGAGCTCCCGCTTGAGCGATCACGGCTGGTCGCGGAATCCAAAGCTTGGCAAGGGTGGCCATTGTGGCGTCGGTGCCGATAAGACTTTCGTTGTCTCTTTGCGTGAAACGTTCTTATTATCGTTTCTTTATTCTAAATCCGAAAAAACAGGTCATTTTATTTTTTAATCATTTCTAATAAAATAATGTGCGAATATGATTTATTTGCATCACTATTTTAAAAAAAAGTGATGGGACATTAGTATTGGTTTCGTTTCGGTTTCAACTGTGGCCCTTGACGCGACTCTCAAATGGGGTTGTTAGACCTATGTACCGGACAAGTTAGCTGAGCTCAATGACAGGTGGGTTAATAGGGAGTTTTAGTAGATCGTTTTCAAAGGCCCGCTACCGCTACGAGCGCGCGCTTCAGAGCATGCATCGAAGTGGCAGCGCGAGCTCCCGCTACGAATAGCGTGGCCTGAAAACACGATCTACTAAAACTCTCTAATGACAGATGAGAGCACTAGTGTAACTAGGGTATAAGTCATGCTGCCGCTAAGCTGCCGTGCATGCGTCAGAGCGAGGGGGGGGGGGGGGGGGGGGGGGGGGTTCGCGCGTGGCGGGCAGACTTGTGCCTATCTCATATACTCCACTCAAGATACTGTATTTAAGATACTTTTTGAAATATCTTGGTACCTTGCAAATGCCTCTAATCGAGAGTACTTAATACTCTATCCTAATTCCATTTCTGAGTATCTTGTACGCATTATCTTAAGTACATTTTTGACGTTCCGCCATTTTTCGAGTTTTTCAGTATGAAGTGGCGTGGGCGTGGCACGAGCAAACTTGAACATTCTTTCGATCAACCAAATCCTGCTGCTAGCTCCGATTAGCTAGGGTGACTTTGATTGAGCTCGGAAAAACATCCCTTTTTGTGCCGATTGTAACTCATATTTCAGCCCAAAGTTCGTACAACGAAGGTTTTCCCCTCGCCTTCCCAAAGGCGTTTTTTGTTTCCTAGGGTTTCCCGAAAAGAATCCTCAAACAAAATTGGTGGTTTTATGGAAGTAAAGATTGCCGCTCTGAGGAGCAACGCCAGACCGGGAAACGACCTACGACAACAATTCAGACTTGAGTGTCAAGAAGATAACAGACAGAAAAAAAAAAAAATAAAAGCACACCAAAAAAAAAAATTGCTTTGCTTTACGGCAAAACCTCGAGGTTTTCTTTCGTTTCTTTTCTTTTTGTCGTCAGCTCGGTGAAACAACCTACTGGGCCCGTTTCCTCGAAGCGCTAACCGCGGCTAAAGTTAGCCGCAGTACCTAGGAGAGGGATTTTGAAATCACGTGACTGGGGCTCGGTAGGGATGCGGGGAAACATGGCGGTGCCCCAGTGAGTCAGCGCCGCTCGCTTTGGAAATAATATGTCGTTGTAGCTGCAATATCGGGAGCGTTAGTCAGCAACGAATGGTGCAGGAGGCTTTAGCTTTGCTTTCCCTCACTTAAACCGCAAAGCATGGGCAATGACATCGCCACATTTTTTAGATAGTCTTTCGTTTCTGGGCATTCCTAAGCCTAAATGAACGCGATAATTCTCGGCATGGCAACGTCTTTGGAAAGCGGATTGTTGATAGCACACAAAAGCTGACAGCGTCCCAACAGACCTTTTTCTAAATTATCCAAGCACCGAGGTGCATGCCACGACTGTAGTTGCACGCGTCGCACGTGCTGGCGTCTGCAGTAGTAACCGTTCTAAAGCAGAAAGTATAAAACAAATTTTGCCTTGCACGCGCGTTCGCTAAAGTCTTATTATGATTTTTTACTTCGAATCTTTTATAACAGAAAGGCCAGCGCGCGTGGACCGTAGAATTACACTTCCAGCGTTTTCCTCGCGATGCTTGGATAATTTAGAAGAAAGTCTGTTGGGACGCTGTCTGCTTTTTTGTGCTATCAATACCTGGCCAATTGAGCAATTCGCTTTCCAAAGACGTCGCCATGCCGACAATTATCGCGTTCATTTAGGCTTAGGAAGGCCCAGAATCGAGACACTATTAAAAAATGCGGCGATGTCATTGCCCATGCTTTTCGGTTTAAGTGAGGTAAAGCAAAGCGAAAGCCTCCTGCACCATTCGTTGCTGACTGACGCGCCCGATATTGCAGCTACAACGACCTATTATTTCCAAAGCGAGTGGCGCTCACTCACTGGGGCGCCGCCATGTTTCCCTGCATCCCTACCGAGCCCAGTCACGTGATTTCAAAATCCCTCTCCTAGGTACTGCGGCTAACTTTAGCCGCGGTTAGTGCTTCGAGCAAACGGGCCCTGGTGTTTCACCGAGTTGCCGAGCAACTGAAACGGGCGTTTACGAACCTCTACAAAGACCATTGCTGGAGAGAAGGACGCTGTAAAATCTAATATGGCAATTAACTGTCCTGTTGTGGTAATTATGAAGTGAAATAAACGCACTAAATGGAAACATAAACTGAAGGTCGTCTATGGCGGCGCCCATGCAGAGCTACTTAAAAGTATATTTAAAAATAAAGACGTGTGGAACACACCGGCGGGCGACCAAAACAAGTACCCGGTAAGTTTGGCAATGATGATTATCATAATGATGGTGATATTTCAGTTCCCTTTGAATTCGACGCAGTCGCATGGCCGCTTCGCACGCTTCGCGGTCGCACGCTTCGCAGTCGCCACGGCCATAGCCTCCTCTAAACTCACAAAGCCTGGCAGTTCGATGTCGGAGCCATAGAGTACCCGGTCGCAGATTTGGAGCGCGAGGATTTGGTAGCACAGAGCATTTGTCGGGTAGGGTATAGTCTGGTATTCAGCGCAAATCTTTGGCAGCGGCGAGGACCCGAAACATGGTTTTCAAACCTGACGAGAAAAAAAGCGGTAGCCCGAGGAGCGCGAGAAGCACGAGCGTAAATTCCATCGCTCGGGACCAGTGTGTTTTGGCGTCTCGCCGCAGCGGGGTGGCCCTTAGATGACTTGGCTGCCGCTCTACCTTTTCACTTTCGGCGGCCGCGTCATGCGACTATCTGCCAGGTTTTGTCACTATAGAGGAGGCTATGCTACGACCTACCGCTTCAGCAGGGAGAGCATAGAAACAGTCTTCCAGCTGAGTCTCCTAAGTTCGTCGCTAGACGCTCGGCTCAGTGGTGCCGAGAGTCACCTGACCACGGCTAGCGGACAAAACTGGCTCCCCTACACGGCAATGAAGGAGAGATTTTGCTCGGAATCAG